TTTTAATTACATCTGTAAGGGCATCAGTTGGATTTGATAGTGAAGCTCAGAAATAAGACAGAAATGCTATTCAAAGAGAATCATAATGAGCATGCTCACTTTGGAAAATAAATGTATTTTCTTTCACTGGGCCTGCTATTCGCATGGCGTGCTCCCACTTACACTGCTGTGCTGTTGCTCAAACCAACAAAGTTATACTTCTGTACAGAGAAAAAATGTATTATGGACTCTATGTTGATGAGTGAGTTATTGTTTATTATAGGACATAATATTTATTATATGACAAATTACAAAATATGCTGAATTAAGTTTCCTGAGCCTTTCTGAAATCCATAGATCATATAAATTAAAGTAGGAGAAGAGTTAGAAATTTAAAGTGCATAAAATGCCAAAACCATCTCATAGTCCTTAGGCTCATAAGGGCTCAATATATAAGTTTGTTGTTGCTCTTAATTCCCTCTTTGTATCAATTTAGCTAATATTCTAAAAATAAACTAAATCAAGTTGTTGCATTTAGGGTTCAGTAATTCAGATAGCAGAAATAAAAGAAGAGCTCATCAAAACATTTTTATAAATGGAAACATTTTTGATGATCCAAGTTCAAAATTTATTTGAATAATCCAAAATACAATTAAGAGTTTGCTTCTGTTTGACTTTGTTTCATTTTGACTTGGTAGTTAAAAAAACCAAAACCTGCTTCAGCCTGAGCATGTTCTTCAAGATGACATCTCCCTGGCAGTGCAATTGCCTACTTGCTTGATACTGCTTTCTGCTGATTTCCACTGCGATCCACGCAAAAATCTCATTCTTCTGCAAAGGTGGCAGGAATTACTGAGCTGTTTCACCTCAGGAAGAAAATGACTGAATTCTAGCCTGATTTAGGTCTAATTCTGCCTGACAGAACCAAATCCCACATTTCTTACAGCAGTCCTATTCAAAAAACAAGTCAACCTCAAACTCAGAATGGGAGTGGGTCTACTCTCTGTGATGAGACAACACCCACTGTTGTGATGTGGAGCAAGAGCAGGAGGAAATGAGGGAAGGAAGGCACCAGTATGGTGAGAGCAACCCATTCTCATTTTGATTTGGCTTTATACACACCCTTCCACCTGAAGGAGGATACTGTAATAATTTCATGAACCTGAATACTCAAGTAGGAAAAAAAAACAACCAACCAATATTCTGAAGAACTTCATGGCTATCATTATGTATATGACAAAGGAGAGACCGAAACAAAATATCAAATGCTCCTGAAACAAACTCCAAATCTAAATCTTGATCTTTTCTTCTTACGATCAACAATCTAGAGCTTTTTCATCTGAGTCAGGATGCCATTATCTGAGTGAAGAATCCACTATCTCACTAGGGCAGAATCTTTTGTTTGACTTGATACAACCAGAAATGGCTGCAAAAAGTTGGACAGAATAATTTACTGATTTGTGAATAGTGCAGCACTGTGTATTGTATCAAAATAAAAGCAGTTTATTTGTTCCATATCCTGAAATTACATGTCAACAATAGTCTTCCTGGAAATAGAGCTCAGAAAAAACTGCAAATCAGATGTCAAATAAGAAATCAATACAAATGAAATTCAGGATCATAATAAAGAAATAGAAGACAGCTGCAAATATTAAACAAATAACTACCGGGTTACTTATTTCAGAGGGCTTCTTTGATTTCTTTCTTATAATCAGATTTGCCATTTTTTTAATAAATGGAGAATCACATTACTGCCCAAGGCCTTACTTTTTGGAGCTAAAGCACATGATGCTGGCTATTGTTAGATATTAGAGAAGACAGTGTTTCAACATACACAGGAGGGTCCCAGTCTGTTGATCAGTCTGTAAATTGTCAAACAGTAACTCTGGAGAAAGTTGTATGTGTCCCTCAATTACTAGCCTGGAATGAGGTCATTTGGGCATATGCCAAATACTAATTGAGTTTTTTGATAACTGATAACTTTTGCCTTTCTTTGATCAAAATATTTTGCAATTTCAATGAACACTTAATATCTCCACAAGTTATACTCCAGGCATCAAATAGAAAAGTCCATTTGTTGAACAAAAGATAGAGTTACACTTTAGCAGAGTATAACTAAGAGACTCCCATTTTCAGAAGAATCTCAGATGTATGTATTTTTTTGGTTTAGAAAGCAAGTTAATTTCACTTTTAAACTTTTAATCTATGTAGACCATGAAGGTAGTCTTTTAAATATGACCAGACTATAAACTGAGGTACTTCTATACTGGGAGTTTTGCCAGAGTGTGGCACCAATAATATTTTGGGAAGAAAACTGGGGTAGGATTCTCCAAAGGCTATGACTCCTTTAGCTGCTAAAAGAGGAGATAACATGTGAGATCAAATACGGCAAAATTATTTGTTTGTAGCAGTGTACTAACATTTATATACAAGGTTTTGTCTTTTACGACATGAGGATCAAATTCCGGAAGGCAGGTGGATATCTGGTATGCACTACTATTCCACCTCCTGCTGTGTCCAAAACATGCAGCTTTTAGAGGCAGAAAAAGCAGTTTGTGTCAAGGTGGCTGGAAACTTCTACTACCTCTGAAGCATCTGCATGTGCTCTCAAGCAGAACCTTCCAGCAGAGGGAGGTCACACATTGTTGTCAGTGTTCCTCTTAACAGCTGTAAACCATGATCCAGAAACAAACTCCGTTTGTTTCTGTCATCCCACTAGAAAGCTGTGTCTTTTCTGACACCATACAAAAGGGGATATTTACAGAAGGTGTAATATTTCGGTTTAGAGATCAGCTGCTACCTTAATACCACAGCAGATACCTAGAACTCCGGAAAAAGATCACAGACAGCTACTATGCACATGCAGAATTTTATTACACAATATTTTACTGTCCCATTATTTTATCAGGAAACCTGGGAATGCTGTGCTGCATTCCACAGTCCTACAGGAAAAAAAACCCAAAGTCACACACAATAAAAACCCAAAACAAACAAACAAACAAAACCTCCACAAAACTAAGAAGCAATCCCCCACACCCAGAGAGTTGTTGCAGACCACTACCAAAAACTACACACCACATGATTTAACCTAATAAAAGCACACTACACAATGCAATGTATTTAACATCTACCCCGCAGGCAAGAAGTTCCTTGTGTGTTCAGTAGTTTTCCTCAATATTTATTTCCTTGGCAGCATCAGATTGCTTTAGAAGCAATTTTCACAACAGAAGATAAGAGATCACTGCCATTTCAGAACAGCTCAGAACACAAAGATTACTGAATTACATCAGTGCTCATCTTAGCAAAGACACTTTGTGCATCACTAAATAGGGATTTTTCACATTGGCATCCTCATGCCAGCATTTGAGCCCATATACTTTTCATAATGAGTTTCTTAATATAGATTTATCCAGTTTTTGGTTTTATTTTCTTGTCCATTTTGGAGAGTATAAGGAAATTATAGTAAATATACACACATTATATGAGAAAAACATGGTACAAAAGTAAAGTACAAGAAAAAATATTGATCAGTGTAGATAGAAGTCATAAAAATCATCTTATGGAAAAAAAGTGTTATAATTTGGTCTATCTTACAAACTGTTTCCTCAAAGTAGATCCCACAGAAAAAAAAGAAGTAATATTAATTTTCATTTGTCTTGAAAGTCCTCAACTTAAGCACATAGCTTAAGACATGAGGTACCTCTCCAGGTTTCAACTACATGCCAAATCTCCTGAGAAAACATATTCTAGATGCTAATCATATTTACCTTGAAAGTTCACACTGCCAAGTACCCAAAAGCATGAAATAATTTCTTAATTCAGTCTCTGGAAAACATGTGTCATGTATTACACACATTAACATATGAAGGTGGTCTCAAAAGTTATCTCATTATAAAGAAGACAATGTTTAGATTCAGCCCTGGAATCTGAAATTCTTGCTATTATATGGCAATGAAACCTATCTTTGAAAAAGAAGGCTGAATAATGCAAGTATTACTATTGTTAAAGACTTTTTTGTCTTAATGGCAAAATAAAGGTAGCGATTATACACTATTTATCAAGATACGTGATTTCATTTATGTAAACTAATCATTAAACGCTTTCTTTTTAGAAGATCCTCAGAAAACGGTAAAAACTAGGCTTACCAAAATATAAAGAATTTGGCAGGTTCAAGGAAATTTCTAATTTACTTGCAACAAATATAAACTGTTTTGTCTTTATTATGATATTCTGCAAAGTACAGCAGTATCCCAGGTATTAAGTGACTAAGTGTTGTTAAAGAGACACATGGAAACAGACAAGAGAAAAAAATCTGTAAATTTCAATAAAATTATTAAGAACAGATTACTCCTTTCTTATTTTGTAACACATTAATCATTAGAGTGGATGAGTCCATGTTAGTTGTATCAGTTCTGACCTCCAGCTTCTCATCCAGTCCCCCTCTGCAGGCTGCCCAAGCCCAAGAACAAACTAAAGGCAGTAACACACCAAAAGCCCCCACCGCTAAGTGGAAAGAACAATTAAAAACAGGAGTTATAAATAACACAAGTGGTTTTTGGTGGGCACTCCTCTTTGTGTGACACCAGACATCATGCTGGAGCAACAAACACCAGCCAGAAGCCCTAAAGCATAGGGCACAAATAAAGCCAGACCAGCTAGAGGATCCCAACTTGGTTTAGCACCAGCTTTTTCTTCAGAGCTTACAATAATTGTGGAGTGTCTGTTCTCCAGCTTTATGGCTTGTAGCAGATTTTGACCCATCCTGAAGGTACAATCAGAAACTTTCACAGGCACTTCATTCCATCACTGTGATTCCTCTTCAACATCAATTAGCAAAAACCCCTGTATTCTGCCTTCAGGGCACTAGAAGGAAAAGCACATTGGCTCATTGTTTCAGCTTTGACTAGCACAGTAAAATCAAATTGATTCCCTGGAGGAATGGATGCTAAGAAATAATTATTCATCAGCAATTTACCTGCACACAGCCATGCAATTTCAACAGATACAATTTCAGTCCACACTGAGGCATAGTAGAAGTTTATTCTCAAAGTTTGTAAAAATACATTGCTTCTGTCATTATGAAATCCTGTGTGTAATTTGCATACTGTCTAGTTCCTGCTACAGTTATACAGAGTAATGCTTTTGGTTTGCTAAAAAATTACTCAGAGCACTCCCTTCTCACAAACTAATGTAAATGCTTACCAAGGAGGAGTGAAATTATCAGATTTTTGCTTGATCTTTACAGAGGTAGCCATCACCAAAAAAAAAAAATTGTGCCAAGAAGGATTATCACTTGAATTTTTCAGAACCAAAGAAACCAAAAAACCTTACAAATACTTGGAAAATGCTATGGCAGGTAACCTGATCACTTCATCACAGGCATTACTGTTGTTATTACCATAAAGTTTTTGTGGTACTGTGGCAATAGAATAGTTTCATCTAAGCAGATAAGACAGGGTTTAAATTTAAGGTTTAAAGATTTGCATTTCAAAGATTAACATGAAGTTCACAAGCACTATAAAAGTAGAGCAGCTAGGGCTATTACTGTATCTTTCTTAATAAAACAGTAACAATTAGTTTAAACAAAGTGCTGGACTGACAGCAAAATATTTGTATTTAAAAGATGTCTCAGCTTAAATAGATTGAAAACTCTTGGAAGTAAACACTTCAAATTCCTTTCATTCTGATCCAGCATTTGGTCTCCTCTTCAGTTTAATCCAGATGCCTTTATTTGGACGAAGAATCAATTCTCCACATAAACCAAGCTCTTCTGGCTTTTGACATGATTCCACCCAAAAGCGCCGCAGGATGAGGGCTAGAAGAGTTTTCTCCTCCATTTGTGCAAAGCGCTGACCTACCAGTTACAAGGCAGAAAAAAAATAATTACTGTCAGGTCGCATCAACAGCTGCTGCACTTGCATGCTCACAGGACTTAAGAACAGAACTAGCTTTAGGCCAAAATCATGTTCATATGGATACAACTAACACTAGCACTTTTCTCTACATGAAAACTCTGGCCTTCTTGGGATAATCCACAGTATGTCCTCCTTCCCACAGTACACAGAACTCAAACAAGCAATGTGAAAACAGTCAACCCTTTATATGGAACTACTACAAAACACAGCCTTGTCATGTCTCTTGGATGGACTAGGCAGGGGGATGGATAGTAGACCAGAGCAGATGATGCAGCACAGGGACTGTAGGAAGAGAAAAATCTCATGGTTCCATATATGTGGAGAGGAGAAAAGGAGATGCAACGGAATGACAGACAGACCATCTTTCAGTGATCATTAAGCCTCATACACACTGATGATTTGGTAGCACAGAGGGCAAAGTTCAATTTATAATTCAGAGATAGGTGAAGGAGGAAACATGAGAACAAAGAAACGTGAGGAAAACCAAACTGCATGTCACAGTTGAGGCAATTCACAAAAACTAAAAAATAGAGATGGGACACAAAACGCAGTGCTGAGAACCTTTTATGTTCTCCCCTCTCTATTATATACACAGATGGAAGTCCATACATATGTAAATACGATGCACTTCTGCAATGATACTAATGAACCATCTCTCCTGCACATGTTTCTGCACACTCAGCATCTAGCTAGACATGTTATATTAAATTAGATTTCTCTTTGGAACAAGGAAAGACCTAGTGTATTGCTCTTATGGAAAAGGGCACCTGCTACCAATGAGACAAATCAAAACAAATCAATTGCATCCCACAAAACCAGAAACCAAACCAAACAAACAAAACAAAAACCAAAAACAACACAAACAAAAAAATAATATTTCCCATTATTGTAAATGGCAGGACAACTTTTGAATGTTCCCCACTTAAAATCAGTGCAGGGAACAGTCTTTTCACATGTTCTACAATCAACACTGTCTCTGCTTGAAGCACAGATAAACGCCAAGCATCTCAGTGGCATCTCAAAGTGCTAACGAGTTCTGGGATGACAGAGAAAACACCAAACCCACTACAGTGTCAGAAAAAGGGAAAGAATGCATCAGTTGCAGATTGCATGCTTTGGACATCCAGCTCAGAACCTGAGAGGGGCAGATGAGGTGTTTCCAGAGCAAAACAGGTGTACTACATGTGTCTTCTCTCATTCTGTGTTGCTGACACTGAGGATCAGAAATTTGCAAGCAATCATGTCCTAATACAGGAGCCCAGTAACATGCTGCCAAGCTGCACAGCAGTGAGGAAGAAACATCAGCATGACAGACACTGGTCCCTGGGAAGAAAGGAAATACTCTGGAAGAAGAAAATGGGGCAGCTCAACAAATGGGACAGCTTGCAGGGCACACAGTGTCCAGAGTTCAGGGGTGGGGAGTGAGGAAGAACACTATACAAACAGTACTAATTGCTGTCTCAGCTACCACGTTCAGAAGCAGAGCTGTTATATTACAAGGGCTTCCTCTTCAGATACATACCAATGCAGTTCCTGGGACCAGCTGAGAAGGGCACATAAGCATATGGGTGCCTTCCCTTACAATTTTCAGGGAAGAATCGCTCAGGCCTGAACTCCTCTGGGTCAGGGAAGATCTCAGGGTCTCTATGTAGGGCATAAGTTAAAACAAGGACATTTGTACCTCTTGGTATCTGATATCCCTCTAAAGAGAAGAGAGAAAGGAAGAGTCAAAATGACAGCAAACAAGCGACTTCCTATACACAACCAAACAGTAAAAAATAAAACAATGCTCCCCTTTACTTGGGAAACATCTCCACTGCAGAAACACTAACACAAGGGAAAGTGGCAGACACAAAACACCACTTACTAATACAGCAATCCTCTCTCAAGGTACGGGCAAACATGGGAACTGAAGGGAAGAGACGAAGAGCTTCTTTCACAACACATTCAAGGTATCGAAGATTCTTCAAATTGTCCATTGTAACAGAACATTCATTATTGCCTGTCCAAAAACAGAGAGATGACCAAGACTGAAACTCCCCATCTTTGGCTAAATAAATTCATTCTGTATCCCCCTATAAACTCTCATCATGCACCAAGACTACATAAGAGAAGGTATTACAAATATATTGAACATGCATACCTTGCCCCAAAGACATAAGGCTGGTTGTACACCCCAACAGACCTTTCCACACCCATCCCAACCACCTCTAGCTGTTGAAAGCCACAGAAGGGTCACAAGGCATGCTCCCAAATCCCCTTCTAAGCTTTTAACACATTTCAACTCACAAATACAGCAAAACCCCAATGAAGGAGGAATGGAAACTTACCAAACTCCTCATCCAATTCCCTGTGAACCTTCTTCTGAACTTCTGGATTACGTCCAAGCAAGTATAAGACCCAGTTTACAGCAGATGCTGTTGTATCATGGCCCTACAGATACACAAAGACATTCACTTCAACTCTATTCCCATGCACCAGTGGGCTTTGTAAATACTTAGGTGTGCAGATAGTATGAAAAGTGAGACTTTCTAGTCCCATGGCCATGATAAAAACAAGAATCAAGAATTAATAACTCTATTCAACATACTATCAAGATAAAAGGTGATCCACGATTGTGCTGACAAAAGGGGAAAGTATTGAAATAACCCAAGCAAAATCCCTCTCTTCTGATTCTCGGGAGCTGCATGAACTATCTACACAATGAATCAGATGTATATTCATCTTTTTGGTTACAGTCCAGTCAACATCTGGGATGTTGATCCAGTCAACATCCATCAACAGTCTCCAGTGACTATCACAGGAGAGATACAATGGACATAACTTGTAAGCTTTACAAAACTATCTAAAAATGGTCAAATGAGGCAGAGTACAGTAGCCATAGGGGAAAATACTTGGTTTGCTATGAGAAGGGAATCAACTCTTAGTTCACAGCACTGTGTGAAGGAGAGGAAAGGAAAAGAGAGACAAAAGGTGAACTAAAGAAGGGGGTGGGGGGGGGGAAAGGATAGGAAAAAAAAAAGGAGGAACAGAAAAGGGAAAAGTTGACCAAAACAGGATTTTGATACTAAAAGATCACACTTGCGGTGAAGTTCAGGATGCTGTTGTAGTATTGAAACGGCAAGATGAGAAGAGAGTTTCTTAGGTTACAACAGTATTAATATGATTCTATGAATTAAGCTTTTCTGAGAGAATTCAGGTCCATCTAATGGTGTGTGAAAAATTCCAGAAAATCTTCAGATCCTCCCTTAGGGAATCAGACAAGAAGAAGGGCCTTAAAGATAATCAGAGGGATGGGACACATCTCCCTTGAAGACAGGCTCAGAGAGTTGGGGTTGTTCAGCCTGGAGAAGAGAAGGTTCTGGGAAGACCTGATTGTGGCCTTTCAGTACTTAGAGAGGAATTATTAAAAAAACAAAACAGGGAGTATGACATTGATATGAGCAGGTAATTATAGAACAAGAGGGAATGATTTTCAACTGAAAGAGAAGAGATTTAGATTAGATTTTGGAAAGAAATTTTTTACTCAGAGATTAGTGAGGAACAAGTTGCCTAGAGAAGTTTTGAACGTCCTGTCTCTCAAGGTGTCCAGGGCCAGGTGAGATGGGGCCCTGGCAACCTAATCTAGTAGATGACATCCCTGTCCATAGCAGGAGGGTTGTAACTAGACATCTTTAAGGTCCCTTCCAACCCAAGCCATTCTATGACAAGAATGTCGAAGCACTGATGCACAGTGGATGACAGAACCAAAAGACTGTAGCCAATGTAGATACAGGGAAAGTAGAAAGGGAAAAAATGTGTGGAGACATGACAAAATGCTAGTCAAAACTGTTAAACTATTTAGAGTTCTCTTCAGTGTTAATGAAGTTTGCAAAAAAAGTCAAGAGCCCATGGTCCATGTCTACCATTAAGCTTTTATTTCTCACCTGCTTTCATGAGTAGAGCCTGCTCACATAGGCAGGGCCTACCACATACTCATTGTCCAACATTTTTCTAGGGCATACCAATGTTCCTATCCTACCTCTGTAGGATAGAAGCACTGGTACTTTCTCTTAGGTTTCCAGGACTTAAATAACATCATGCTAAAAGCAACCTTCTGAACTAAGAGTCACCACCTGCAAATTCTGAATCATGGGTTTGGAGTAAAAAAAAAAATAAATAAAAAAACCCCAGCAAACAAAACCATCCAAAACTACAACAACAAAAGAACAATAAACCAATGAGTTCCTTGGTTACCTCAAACATGAAAGTATCCACCTCCTCACGAATATCCCTGTAGCTCAATTTTTTCCCTTCATCATCTGTTGCACTCAGCAGCATGTCCAGGAATGCTTTTCTCTTTTTGGAACCACTTTCTTCACAGCTGCCATCATTATCATGTTTCTCTTGCTTGGCGCTTTTAAGTTCTTCAGCCTTTTCTGCAATGACCTGAGATAGAACCATTACATGAGATATGATGAATTCAGCACAAGCACACCATTTGCCTCATACAGTTTTGTCCTAACTTATCAAAACAACAATGTCCATCTGTAGCAGTCTACATGAGATAGTTAGCATAGCTGTCAGCATTAGGTCATGAAATTTAGCTGACTTTTTGTATTAGTAGTGAATTATGACCAACCTCTCTTGCCCCAAGCAATAGAATAAAACTTAGAAAAACAGAATAAAACTGAACAGCCTTTGTGCAATCAAGGAAATAGATAGCCAAACTACATAAACAACCTGGGAGTCATCAAGAAGTGTAAACATATCCAGAGTATCTGGAACATGCCAATCATGAATGCAAACAATGGCAACAGCACATCAAAAAAAATCACCGCCGTGTGATCACATTAATCACCAATAAGATCTTCTCTATCCCAACTGAGAACTAAGGAAATATCTCACTTCCAACCTCCAAAAAACTCAGGAAAGTGAAGAGAAGCCAGGGCACCCCAGAACCCTGGGTCAAGGCTACACATAGTACTGCTGAACCTGCTACACTAAAGCTTCCCGAATCTTCTCCAGTATGAGAGCAATGTCTGAATTTCCTTTTTTTACGTCAAAGTACAGATGCAGTACCAGATGTAAATTTCTTACTGTTGTCACTGTTGCAGAGCCAAAATAGAACCCTTCAATAAACTGGTGTTACTCTTAAAAACAACAAAATCATTTAAAAGGGTGTAGAGCATGCAATTCTGTTTGGAGGATTCACTGAACAGAAGAAAAAAATACAGTTCTATACACACACATTGTTTTCCTTACTAAACATGCACATGTGTCACATATTGACCCATCCTTCACCTCAGTACTTGCTGTCAGCACCTACACCAGATGCAACTATTATTTACAGTCCTTTGTCATCTTCTAAGATTTGGCTTATTATATTCAGTGCACCAGTCCAGCATGGGAAGAGCGCAAGTGTTGCCTTAGGTCCTCTTAAGAGCCTCTTTCATGATTCACTACTGCAATTTCCAATAAATGGAAGCAAAAAAAACCCAACAGAGTAAATGTAGCTTATTATATGTAGCCAAAGTTCAAAGATTATTTCCTTTGTCACAGACATTAATACAGTGACATCATGGGACACATGCATAGGGAAAGCAGCCTCTCTGATAACATCCTAATAGTAGATTTGGGAGGGCAAACTCTGGCAAGAATAACATAGGAATTATTTGGTGAGAGAAAGGGCTGTTACTTCCACAGTCTAAGGTGGGAGAACATTTTACTTTGTGCCAAGTGAGTGATGCATGCCTAATGATTTCTGTATCAAAGTGCCTTGCTGCTGATCTGGGGACCTGCATGTGTTTGCTCCTCTCAGAAGTTCTGTTCTGAATAGGGGAAAATGAATACAGCCTTCAGTTTCTGAGGGCTGAATCCAGTAGCACTATCATGCAGAGCCCTGTGTTTACCGCTCCAAACTTGGCAGTGAGCTGTTGGAGGTGATCCAGCTGTGGAACTTTTGGGGCAGAACAAGAGTTCAATCAATTTCTGTTGTTTGTTTCAGTTGTCAAGGACCTGCAAGTTCTAGAACTCCCTTGGAGTAGTCTACTTCCTTGTTTAATTTCAACAGAGATTCTAAAAGGGAAGTCAGCCCTTGTCTTCCATTCAGGGAATTCCTCAGTACCCCAATAGAGAGCCAGCATATCAAGGAGGTTGAACCCCATCCCCATTTGGAAGATCTGAGTGCAAAATTTTGATCCAACAGTGAAAATTATCATTATAAATATTTTTTTTTGAAAAGACTCTATACTGTATCTGTAAAATTGTGAAGGATGTTGAGATTCCTCTTGTGCTCTCTTCCTTCTTTGAACAATATATACAAAAAATCAGGCCAAAGCCAAGGGCTTAGCTGTCGCCGCTGGATTAGATCACTCATCCTAGGGGCAAAACAATTATAACATGTACCATTACTTTAAAAAAAACACCAAATTATAGCACATTTCAAGAAAAAAATTAAAAACTTCTATGTACCCTAATATGAAGTATTATGAAATGATTGACTTTACATATAGTGTAGGTTTAAACCCATTATTTGAAAGGAAGGCCAGTCACATTTGTGTCTTGATTTTACATAATCTCAAATTTTCTGTTACTTATCCTAGCATCACCATGTTTTAGATCTTTAAGGACTGGTCTCTGAGAGACAGCATATTGTCATTTAGTTGGAACCCTCTTGAAAGCGTTCTATTAAGTCATCCAGACCAGTCACACCCCACTTCAGCAAAGCACTGACAGTGTTGTAAGAACTATTCATGACAGGTTCCCATAATATCTGCCCCAAGAACTCAGTTTCTGAGAGCACTGCATTCCTACTTGAATATGCAGATTCCAGATCACACATAAAAGTACTTAAAATGTATTTAAAATTAACAATATGAGACTTCAAGTATGCTCAAACACAACTGGAGCACATTTGGAAGGGCTGATTGTCATTGCTATTCAGTTCTTGCACATGCTTCAGTTGCAGAGGAGTAATTTTTACCAACTTCAAGCACACTTGTACAATTTGGAAAGGTCAAGGAACCAATGATAATCAAACCCTTCAGATCTACCCCTCTTTTGGATCATACCTGTTTCAACAAGCACTATCAAAATCTAGGAGTGAGATCATAGGATCACAGATTCATTTAGGTTGGAAAAGACATTTTAGATCACGGAGTCCAACTGTTAACCTAGTGTTAACCCAGTCCATTACCATGACCCTAAGTGCCATAGGAACATGTCTTTCAAACACCTCCAGGGTATTTAGTGACTCAGGGTTAATCTGTCCCAATGCTTTACATCCCTCCATCTCTGACTCCCTGGCCTTCCTTCCTGACACCAGCAGCATTAATTTCAGCTCAACTCCAAAGTAATTAAGGAAAATGTGAGTTTACCTGTAGACAGCAGAAACATAGTCAGAATCCTTATTCTTCTGGGCACCCACATTCTTGCCCATTGCTGTTTCTAGAAGGAAAACATCAATATTTCACAAGTGCAAAGTGAAATGCAGTGTACACAGTAAGTTACTACTGCTCCCATCTTCTGACTGTCACCACACCATCCCTTTGACAAGTGAATACACATATATCTTTGCAGGGAATGAGCTTTCCTTTTATTTCCATGCCCAGGAATCCTGCTCCTCAAGACAACCTCACTTCAGACTGCTACCTCTATCCTGCCAGTCCCACAAACTTAGCTGCTCAGATGCACATAATAAAGCCTGGGAAAAAGATTGGGAAGGATGGAAGTATATTTAGAAAATATTCAGGGATATTACTCTTCAATCATCTTACAAAAACTGGCACATGACACATGCTAAACTCATGATCTTCTGCATCATTCACAGTTCTACCACAATAACTGAACAGGACTTACCACAAATGATATCAAGGGCACACAGAGTGATGTCCATAAAGACATCAAATGGCTCCTTGTCAACATGCTTTTCAAGTTTCTCCACCAAAATATTTCCTTGTTCATTCATGACCTCTAGAAAGTCATTCAAGATTGCAAAGTGGAATGTGGGAGTTATCATCTTTCTCCGCGACCTCCACTTGTCTCCAGTGCTGTAAAATTAATGGGGAGAAGGAAGGCTAAAAACTCCAAGTCAAAAATAATATCTTCACCATTACAGGAAGTACACATTAAATACTGCAGCCTAGAAAAGGTGGACACACTCTCGATGTCTCTTCAAGCTGTTCATGGCACTCCACACAAGGAGCAAATGGAATTTTTTCTTGCTCCAGGTCTCTTGGAAGAAGAAGCCACCATTTCTCCAGCTGATCTCAGCAAACAAGAGATGCCAAAAAGCCTCCAGACAATACATCCTCGTTAGTCAGTGCACAGGCTCAGAGGGACCAAGCAGAAGCCAGCCAGAGGCCAAACCAGCTATTCAGCATCAAGGCTTCAACCCACCACCCTTCTCTCTGAATTAGTAGTTGTGTTTCATCCACTGGCCATGAAATGAGGCCTGCAGAGAACTAGGACCTAGGGAAATTATAAAAATGACTGCCTCAAGGCCTGGCTGCAATCTACCTCCTTGGAGACAGGTAATCACTTCCCCACATGCCAATGAAAAGCATGGAGCCACAGTGAGTGTCACCAGCTTCCTAGGGGCCCTTGGTTACTTTTTCTAAGTCACATGCCCTGCAAGCACACAGCTGGCACTTCTGCTTACAGGGTAAAACTATCACACCACCCCCTCTGTTAACTTGCTATTGGGGCACTCTACACGCAAGCATATCTGCTTGCTGTCTGCTACTGCTGTCCCTAACCAGCAGAGACTGGAACATTCTCCTCCATTACATTTTTGCAAGCACAAGGAAGTCAAAATACCTTTGTACATCTATGGAAGACAAAGCAACAAGTAAGGAAGGACAGTGAGGATACACCATGCCTGATGCCCATGGACCTCACCTCTGCACATTGGTATTGATTATTTACTGCCTTCCTAAAGGCCAGGAACAAAACTCAGGACAAAATGCATGCCTCATCGTCTCACATGAACTTGCACTTCCCACACCAATGATCACAGCTGGCTTTTACAATACCATGGTCCCATCATAAAGCATGAGGAGTTCACCTCTGAGGGCTCCAAACAAGCAACAAAGGTAACACAGAGACCTGGACCTTTTCTCAAAAACTCAGAAGAGGCTCAAAGGTACAAGAAAGCCACTCTATACTTACCTTGCTCTGACTTTTGAATATCTGCATCATCCAGATCAATCCTTCCTTTGCCCTTCCAAGACTGGAGGACACCAAACCCTTATACCACTGCTCCTCCTTCTCTCCACTGCTGATTTATGCTCCTACCCAGGCTCACTTCTCATGATCCTCTATTTCATGAATGAAATTAAGGACAGGGTGCAGATACTCTCTGATCCTACCCCAAAGCATCACCAGCCTCAGGCCTATCCTACTGGTCTGCAGTACGACCAGCTGAGATAAGCAATGCACACAATCTCTTTGTTCAGAAATACGCACAGCATTCCTGCCACCAAGACCTCTTCTTATCATGTACCCTGTAAATTTCAAAAAGACAGCAGTGCACCTGCATTTCATTATACATTATACCTTGTCAGAAGTCCAGTGCCCAACCATGGATGCAGGAATTTGTACAGGTATGATTTTTCTATATGTTTTGAACTGTTCAGAATAACCTGTCAGAAAAATGAACCGAGAGGAAAAAAATATTACTTCTTAGATGGAGAGAGATGTCTTCACTATTTCTTCAATAAACACTCCAACAGAGAAACAACACTGTCTTTCTAGTTCAAGGACAATCACTGTCAGCAGCAAAACTAATGACTACATTTCATAGCATCAAAACAGACCCACCAAGTTTTAATGCAGAAGTCTGTCAAAGAGACACAAGCATTGCAACCTGAATTTCCTAATGTTCTATCCTTATTTCAGTGGTCCCATCTTCCTTGCTATCTGCTTGTTTATTCTGACCATGGCAGCAGAAGCTTTCACACATGTGAAAACAAAGCTAATGTTTCTTCAATGCTTTCATTTGCTGGTAATCTTCAATCTCTCCATTTCCCACTGACTAGGCCTTTTTATATTCATTCACTTTACATCTTTGTTTAGCACTAACTCAGAGAACCATCCTAAAGCAAATCAGTCCAAGCCCTTTTTAACAAAAATTACGTTGAGATAATAGAAACTAACAGGTTGGACACTGCTCTGCATGACAGTAGACTAGACAGGAGACCAGCACACTCACCTCCACACTGTCAGGATGATACAATATCATGAGAGGCACTGGTCCTATCCAAAGTTTGAACAATGGACAACTTCTGAACTCTTCAGTATAAAACTGCAGCTGTTTAAAAAAATCTGGAATAGAAAATAAGAGTAGAGTTTCACAAGGGGTTTTGCAAAATAAGAAAGGCTTCTATAATGAACTCTTTTGCACCACATGCCCTGCAATTTTGATTTTTGTTGTAGTTTTAACCTGCTGCTGTGACCAAGCAGCATCTTTTGCACCTGTAGATTTTACAATTCAGGTGTTCTACTCTCTTCAGGCACAGACTCATTTATGCCACATTTATTTTATGCCACATTTATTTATTTATGGCAGCATTTATGCCACAGATCAATCTGAGGGATACCAGTGTTGTCCAGCTGCCAGTTGGACTTCATACCAGTGAGCTCAGCAACACAGTGAATTCTCCTCCCACATTATTATACAATTATCCAGTCCATGTCTTGTCAATTCAGCTATACAGAAAGATTGGAGATAGCTGAATCTGTTGGCAACAGAAGAACAGTAGATAAAAGTTTTATTTGATTCAGAAAGGTCTCTTGGATACTATCTCATCACAGAGAACAGGTTCATTCTGCAATATTAGAGGTGGGGGCCACTCTCAGGATGTTCAAGGATTAAACACTTCTTTGCCCTTTCAGAAACAAGCTTAATATTAGAAAAATATATAATTTCCTAACAGATGCTCAAATACAGCTTTCCCTAGTCTTACGAAAAGTTCTGACACCTCATCTAACACAATTCAGAGTGTTAGATTATTTTGCTATTTTTAAAATATTTTTCCTAATATTGCCACAATTAGAATAACATTTTCCAGCAATTGTCTAGCAATACCAATAAAAACATCCCCATTATATGAAAAGTTATTTTCCTTTCTGCTATAGAAACTTACCCTTTTTAGAAGTTTTTTTGGTCATATTTTTCATGAAAAATATTATAAACCACAATCTTCACATCTTTTTACATAAATAAACAAGAACAGAAAAGGCTGGACATAGGACCTATGTGATTCCTTAACTAAAGCACAGAAGCTGTGGGATTCCTGCTAACAAATGAGATTAGGGACTACACAAAACATGAGTTCGCATCAATTTGCTTTCTGAAGATTGAAACAATGTTCTGGTTTGGTTTGGGATTTTTTTAAGAAGATTTTTTAAAAAGAGGATAAGAAAGAAAAATAAAAGTAAATTAATCTCTCAGTCCAGCTCATATAAACATCCTATGATCCTCCTACTGCTTCCCCAAAGTCATCTCTGTGGAAATCTGCCTGCCCTCACATTCACCACAGATGTCTCATATTTGTACTTAAATATGGGACTGGATCCAGAGGAGAGATATGACAGTGTGCCTTGTGAACAGAGGTACTGTGTCTCAGCATGGATCAGCACTGGGAATTTGTGTTCTAATGCTGTACTCCCACTTGAGTTCACCCTGCTCCCACAACCCATTAGTCTCTCTTCTGGCAGCATACACAGCAGCACAGCCAGCAGCACATGTGCACAGAGCAGATGTGGCATACACAGGCATCACAAACACACACAGAGGAGTGTGGGCCACTGGCAGCAGACTCAGCAACGCTTTCATAACACAAACTCCTTAAGAAATATGTTCCTGTTAAAAAATGAGTACCAATTGGAAATCCAACACAATAGAGCTCCCTCACGCACCTGGCAAAAAGAAGGCTCCATTAATCAGTTAAAGAACAAAAAGATTTGCTTTTGAGGGATGTACTACAAATGTTCAGCAAGTTCTTTCACATCTAACACATAAATCTAAGTAACAGATGATTCTGGAAGTGAGCCCGCGTAGAAGCAATTTGGCATGCTAAAGTCCCTTGCACATGCTTGCTTGGGGGAAGGTAATTGTTCCACATTTTGTTTGGAACACAGCAAAAAGTCATGAGGATATAGTGTTTTAACTTTGTGGTGAAACAGCACTTCCTGCAAGAGCCCACAGCACGCCTCCCTCTCACTAAAACAACATTCCACAGCGTTCGTGCTCCACCCTACCAACAACTTAACGGTCTGAGCCCAGCAGCAGCGCCGTCATATTTAACCTCTAGTTAATCTTCGAGACCAATAATAATACCACATTTATGCAGTTTATGCTCTTTTTCTCTTGACCGCCCACTCCCCTCACTCTCAATGTGAGAGAGACTGCCCTCTCTCACATTGCCCAGAGAGACCTAAAGACAAGAGCACCATCCTGACACCCCAATCCCCTTCCCCAGCCAGCCACACAAGCATGCAGTGCAGGGAACTCACAGCTGCGCCACAGTGGGAGCTGGCATTACCTTCTCCTTTCCGCTCTAAGAGCGGGGCATTTCCCAGCACAGGATAGTTGGGGCTGACACCCGGGATTGAGCTCATCATCCGCCATCGTCTCCAGTATTCCATCAGGGAGGACAGGGAGCACACAGTCACGATTGTCAAAAGCAGAGCAATAATCCCAGCTCCCCAGGGCAGCAGCTGGGGTTTCCCTGAGAATCCCTCCAGGACCTCCATCGTCACCTCTCAGGCTCCTGCTCTGAGCCTTGATCCCTGAAGCAAACCTGGCACTGCCTGTACCCGGCACTGCAGCTGCAGTATGCCAAGTGTGTGGAGAAGCTGGCCAGAAGAGCAGGAGGCGGAGCCACCACACAGGCCACTGGCGTAGCTTCTTGCCAGGAAAACAAACAGAGTTAAAAAACACTCCTATTGAGAGGCTGCCTACTAGCATTTCCTGGTGGCAGGCAAGCCGCAGGGAACAGTGCTGCTTTCCTGCCCCCACTTGGCTCGAGCAAAGTGACGAGCGAAAACCTTTGCAGGCCCACACAATAACTCAGAAAGAAAAAAACATCTTCAAGAGAAAAAAACACCTTTTTGCTGATTATAGATGAGTTTTCTCAATATAATCTTTCCCAATCTGTTCTGAGGTGCTCAACACCATTTTGCCATAGAGAACTGCTCCAGTGATGTCCAACACAATGACTGAAGGGCCAGATGGAGAACACCTCTTTCCAGCTGGGTTGATGGCTTCAAGCGGTTACAAAAACCAAAGCCCATAAAGACCCCTGATCAACAGCAGCACTGCAAAGCACACTGATGCTTCTCAGCTCATATGGCCTTTACTGATCTCACTGTTGATGCTCAGGCACAGGCTAAAGGGTGCCAATAAAAACAACTGGCAGCATCAGCACCTGTGCCTCAACTTGCAAAGTGCCTGGGTAGACACAATACTGAACCCACCACATACACTGCCCTCCTGCCTCAGGAGGACCCAAGGGCTCTTCTCACTGCTGCAGGGCTACTGAGCATCTGTTTCTCAGAGTGGGTGCTCAGAATCTTTTGGTCAAACAGAATTTTAGTAGAGGCATCATGGTTCACAGCCAAGTCACAAAACTTCAACCCCCAAATAAAGCACAAATGGTATTTATGGCCATAGTCACATTTATCCTCTTTGCTTTGTACAAAAAATTACTGCACTGACTCCACAAGCATTTTTAGCAAATCAACAAACAGCATAAACAAAACAACTGAGACAAAAAACACAAACAGAAACTCAGAACATCAGAAGTTAAGTAAGGTTTTTGTGACCCTTGGCAGCAGACAAGAGTAAATTTTGGCACTTTGCTCTTGTAATCTCCCAGAAGAGGCTTTATTATAAATGCCAACTGATTTTTCTGCACAGCAAAAACAGCTGGAAATGAACTTTGCTACTCTTGCTGTTGATTGTATTGGTTTGTGACGGAAAGCAGCAGATATATACCCAGTCTTGCAAAGACACAGGCAAGTTACACAATCATCAGTGCCCTCTTTTGTTCAGGTAACATCCTGGGAAGGAAGCAAGCACATAGGATAAAGAGACTCATCTTTTGTCTTTTTAACATGGAGATCAGCTGAATAATTATACTCTCATATTTACAAAAAGTCTTACAGTTTGTTGCCTTCATTAGACCAATAATTAGATGAAGTGATTGTTTGTGATTCTGAGTTAAAATCTGTAGTTCTAACTGCTGATTACTCCTTCTACAGGAAAAGAACAAATATCAAAAAAACAAAAAAACAACAAAAAAAGAAACACACAAAAAAACAAACAAAAAACACTCCTGTGAAACAGCAAGGAGAAGGTGGAAAGGCATTGGGACAGCAGTAGAGAACACTGCAAAACAAACATTGCAACATCCTGCCAGCAGCTGACAATGGTGATGATGTTAATAAAAGACAGCTGAAACACTGGAATGAGACATAAAAGATACATACCCAAGAAACAGGAAAACAGAGGTCTAGCATCTTTGAGGCCTAATTATGTCACCAAGACTTGGAATCATAACAAAACTTGGAGGATGTTCTGTAGGAAATGAGTTTTCTACAAGACTGTGATCAGAATTTCCTTTTTACCCAGAGAGCTATTTGTTCAGTATTGGATTTCTGTGAGCACTCCACTGGTTAGTGAATCTTCTAATTTATAAATGTTTGTAACAGTGCAAACCTGCTCTTATTCGGCCTCTTGCGTAAGTGGAAGCATATCTATCAGTGCTGACAAAAGCAACTTGTTAGGCAGCTGTGTCAGTCAAGAGACACAGTAACAACATGGGCTTCTGCTAGTCCCTAGAATGCAGCCTGGATTCTTCATTAAGAAAAGTAATAAAATCATCATTAACAGCAAGGAAAAAACCAAAACCAAACCAAAACAAACAAATTTTTAAAAAAAGCCAGAAACAAAGCAAAACAAGGCAGAGGGACAAAACAACAGAAGGACAATAGAGAAGTACACAGCTCATTCTCAAAAACTGTTTTATTCTTAAGAAAGGCTTTCTTAGCAAGAGCTTCTCTCTTTCTAAACACACACTATCGCAATGTGATTAACCTTTATGCAGAAAGCTACTCTGAAATAAACAGGCTATTTGTAGTCCAAAACAGCCATCGCCTAGACAAAGAAAATAGAACACAGTACGTCTCCATTTCAAAATATGTCATCAGCTGGACAGCTGAAGAGCTCAGAGATCTCCCCAGTCCTCAGAGAGGAATTTTAGGGCCTGATACTAAATTTCATGCCTATAATCTAGGCTTCCAAGAACAAGTCCTGAGGAAGACTCCAGCTTCAAATCCTTCTGTGGACACTTTCTCACACAGGTAAAGGAGACTAACAGCATTTGTGAGACAGAGACTAATGGAAAACCGCTCAGACTATTCACTGAGTCTTCACAGAAGTATAGCGAACGTTGTTTATTTCTATCTTTAGCACACTTTTATAGGGTCCTTTTAAGGGTTCACGGGGCTTAACAAGTTACTATTGGTTAATACATGTTGTTTTACATTCTTTTCCAAGTACACAATGCCATTGTTTTTCTTTATTCTCGCTGCTCCAGGAGAGTTTCAAGGACACTGCCTTTAAGATTGTCAGCTGGATTGAAAGCTGGGTTGTGCAGACAGGCTTTTACTAAAATATCATGCTTTTACTCTGTTAAAATGTTTCTCTACAAGAGACCACAGCTGTTGTTCAGAGACAGACTGATAGGTTTGATACCACCTCCATCAAGCATACCTTGCTTAGTTTCTGCAAGCTAGGGCTCACTGTACAGCAGCAACTGCTTTGTTCCATAGCCACTACTTGAGATACTTCACTACAAGACATTTTGCATTAATGGATTATCCCCAACAGAACACAAAGGCCTACCTCCTAAGAAACCATAATCTTCCCTACCACAACATGACTTACAGTAACAGAGACCATCGCTCATGCCCCAGAACACAAACTACTGTAAAGCAATTCTGATAAGGTGTCAGTGATGTTGGCATAACTAATAGACAATTAACACAAAGTAGCTACCAAAGCACCACACCTATATTTGTTCATTAATGTGTCAAGGAAAGAGCACACTCCCAAACTAGATGATTACAGCTTGTCCAAGGTCACAAGTGAAGATTCCACCCACTTCTCTGTGATTTGGCTAGATTGTACAGGGCCTTCTTGCTAAACCCCAGCAAGTTTAAAGAAAGCATTTAGCAGCATGCAACATACTACATTAAGTGAGCCAGAGGTCATGAAGAGTGAGTAAACAGGGCAGTTAAAGATAAGGAAAAACTTGTGGGTCACAGAAGCACAGCACTGCAAACCTGCATTCTTGTAGCATGGAAGGTTTTATACCAGTATTTGCTCTAGCAAGTTCTAGTTGTCCACGTTTGATGTGCCTGCACATAACAGTCATAGCTGTACATCCCCTTAGAAGCTGTCATGGGTTAGCCTTGGCCAGCAGTCAGACACTCACCCACCCACTCCCCTCCCTCAACAAGGATGAAAAATAGACTAGACTATGGGCCAAAACAGACTGGAAGATTGCTGATTTGCTACCATTGGCAAAACAGACCCAACTTTGGAAATTCAATTTAATTTATAGACAATTAAAAACAGATAATGAAGAAGTTAGAAACTAAGACAAAAGTTCCTCTCTGCTGCTCACTCCTCACTCTTTTCTCCTGCTCTAGCATGGTTTCTCCACATGCTGCTAAGGAATCTCTGCTCTTGAGCCTGGAGCACTGCCTCCTTTTCCTTCAGTAACCTTGGTGTTTGCACTGCTGTTTCCATCTCTTTTCCCTCCCCCCACTCCTCTGTCTGTTTAGTATTTTTTTGTACACTTGTAAATACTTTTTCACAAAGGTGTCACTGGCTTAGCTGGTGAACTCAGATATGTCCTGCAGTAGATCCAGAGTGAAGCCAGCAAGAATTGTATTCTCCCCTCTAGCCACCCCAGTAGCAGCACTGCTACTGACACCATGACACCTATACTCAGCTGAAAAGCCTACCATGAAAAAATTACAAGACTGAAAGGAAAAATAGAGGTGAAAAGTCCTTCACATCACCCCCTAGTGAGACCAGAAATGTCCATTACAAAGTGATGGATGCATGTAAACTATCAACATTAACCATTTGGAAACCATACAGGTGTTTTTCCTTACAATGTCAAGGGAAGAATCACTCAGGACTAAACTCCTCCAGGTCAGGGAAAATCTCAGTAGGGCACAAATTACAACAAGAGTATATGTGCCATTCAATACTTGATATCCTCCTGAAGAGAAAAAGGGAAGAAGGATCAAAACAACAACAAATAGGTGGCTGTCTATGACTGCTCTACCATAAAAAAAAAAAAAAATCCTACCCTTTACTTGGGAAACTCTCTCAGTACTCTCCTGCGGGTATTCCAGCACCCTTCCCAGCCACCTCTAGCAACTTTTCTAACCCTAAAAACATGGTGCATTCCGATCTCAATTTCTTCAGTCTTGATAAAGGAGGAATGGAAAACTTACCAAACACCTTGTCCAGTTCTCTGTGAACCTTCTTCTGGGCTTCAGGATTATGTTCAAGGGCATTGCGAGAGTATGCAGACACGCAGTTAGAAAAGCAAAACCTCAGCTCAAATGGAAATTTGTCAGAGATATCAAAAACTACAACAGTCCTTCAGGTACTATCATAGCTTAGACCACGATGAAGTACCATGCATACACCCCATCCCAGTACAACAGAGAGGAGTATCAGAACAAATATAAAACCCATGGGTTGAGATAAGAAAAGTTTAATGATTGAAATATAATAAAGTGAAGTGAAAACAGGAAGAGAGAGGAACAAAACCCAA